TGTGTGTGTGTGTATGTGTGTGTGTGTGTGTGTCGTTCCTGTGAACTGGGCAGAGTGAACTGGGCTACTGAAGTTAAAAACGTATTGTTTTCCCTGGGTTTTCTCAAGTTTTGGAAGTAGATCTACTAGATTATTTCTCAGTGAAGTAAAAAGTAGGCTTGCTGATCATTTCGTGCAGAACATAGAGAAAGAAGTCTGTCGCTAGCATAATATTATTCTCTCTTACAATTCCGTTTCAAGAAACAGCTGAATATATCACCAACCTCCCACGGTATTGGAACAGAAGAGTCATAGCCTTGTTAAAAACTCATAACCTTCCATTGAATAACAACCTCTATCTGTGGAAATTAGTAAATTCACCCTTATGTGAGAGGTGTAACTCTCAGGAAATTGAAGATGAATTTCATTTTATTTTCTATCGTCCATAATTTGTTCATCAAATGAATTTGTTAATTCCTCTCAGCCTTACTCGGCCCAGTGACAGAAATGTGCAATGTTCGACGCATGATAAGAGATAATATGTGCACAACCTGTACTTTTTCATTATGGAAACTTTAAACTGTATACACAATTGCCTTAGTGTTTTGGGTTTTTGTGTACATATACTTGCTTTTTTAACATCCCCATCAACATAATTTAGATCATTTAAGGGGAGGCTTCAACCCCACCTGTCAGGGCCAACCGAGGCTGAGAGGAATGAAAAGTCCCGGCAGAGATACCGATATACTCGATTGAAATTCTCCCCCACACGGGAATCGAACTCGGGTCTTCTGTGGGCTACAGGAAAGTGCCTAATCGCTACACCGCAGGCGCTGGTAAAGACACTCATTCAATAAAGCTGCTAAAAATGGATTAGAATACAGGGGCGGAGAAGGGAGATAACAAGTACGAAGAGGAGCGGAGGAGCCAATGGAGACAATTGGAGAGGAGTGAATGAACTAGAAGAAGGAACTCTTATAGGAAATGGAGAAAGAGTGGGGGGGGGGGGGGGGGAAAAGGGGGAGAGAAAGAGAGGGGGCAAACTAAATAAAATAAGAGGATGAAAAGACACAGAATGTCAAAAACAGAAATTCTCTCGTCTACTTCAACCTTTTGTAATGGAGCTTTTTACCGTTTGCCTACATTGCAAGAACCTGTTCTCATCATTGTTTTGTAATGGATGTTTTTGACGTTTGTCATCATTACAGATACACAACGCATCTGTTCTTCTCATTTCTTGCTTGGTCCTAAGCTCACAATTATCTCTGCAAAGGCAAACTGGAAAACGGTGCAGTTGTTCTGTGCTCACCTAAGTCTTTGACGCTCTACCTGAAAGTTTATAGGTGTTCTGCAAAATATGCACAGTCGTTTTTTTGTGTATAATGGCTCAAAAAATGCGCAACTTTGCTTTTGGTCAACTGCTAATCGGACGGATGTGTCCGCTGCGTTCTTAAAGGGTTAAGTTTGGAGAAATATTTTTAAGTCTCTCTTCTGTATCCTTGGGGCATAATTCATGGGTGTTATATTAATTACCAGAATGACAAGTATCTTGGACCCCTTTTGGAATCTAACAGCCAACTGAAATGCAAAATATATGCACCCTTGCACAAAAACTGAATCGACGGGGAATTACCTACAATTATGGTTAATAATACGCGCTGAATGCCAGGAGATCACCATACAACATCCATAAACCATTGTCCTACTAGCGAAGTTGGGGCTCAGTATGTCAACAGGACTAGTGTTTACATGTATTAGCGTCGGAATGAGAAATTTCCTTTAAAAGGCAAGGCCTTGTGTGTGACATGGACAAACCAGTGTAGCGTCAATAAACAGCACTCTGCCTTGCGTTCCTAGTGGTATGGGGAGAGAATATATCAAGACCCAGTCCTATCGAAGACACTGTCTTGTCACACTTCTTGAAAACTTCTCAAACATGACGAGATATTGAAAATGAAAACGTCCCTTTGAAAAATCGAACCATAGCCATCCCCTCTGAAGTGCCGCATAATGACAGCTGAGCTGCAAGGATGGAGGGGGGGGGTATATACGTAATTCGCTTTCTGTTGACGCTTGGGGTTTAAAGAAGCTTGGATGCTGTGACAGGATGTGTGTTAATCATATTTTCCTTAAATGTTTCTTCTCATCAGACCCAGAACACACACACACCGTTAGCTCTGGTTCAATTGTGTTGGATGACCCTGGTTCAAATCTCCACAAGATTGTTTTGAGGAATTTGTAGGAAACTCTTCCCATTGGTTCTATCCTATCGGAGATGGACGTTAAGTTAAGAGGTCCAACCTCTTAGTTAAATAACCTTAAAGGGGTACTTCACATATACAATTACTAGACCCAGACCAAAAGGTTCAGAACTTCACCCCAGCAGTCAGGTCAGAGCTTTCATGAAAAAAGATCTACAAAACTGAATTAAATGAAGGGCTTTGAAACAAGGTTATTTAAGTATTAGATATTATGTGACTGTCTCAAATGGCAGACTCAAAGACACTTTTATCCCTTTACTGTAACCTTGTCGATTTCGTGATTTTTTAATGGGGGGGGGGTTATTTTGTTTGCTGGTTTTGGTGTGGTTTGGTTTTGTTTAGTAAGGAGGAGGGTGTAGTTCTTTTCAAGAATATTTTTGTGTCTGTTATTTGATACTGTTTTGGGGTTCTTTGAGAATTTGGGTAATTGTCTTTTTTTGCGCCCCATCGAGACAACTTACATTATTTGACAAGAGGGTTTTGACCCTATCTATCAGTATCAATCTGGGCTGAGGGGGATACAACGTCCCAACAGAACGACAGAGACTACCTTCATCAAATTGAGCTCAGGTCTGTTGTGTGCGACGGCGAAATGCCTAACCACTACACCCTGTTATGCAGGGTCGAAGCCCGCCTCCTAAATGATCTAAGCTGTGGTGATGGAGAGGTAAAACAGGAACATTATTTTCAATATTTTGAAGCAGGACCTTCACAGGACATACAGGGTGTTAGGAAACACCCTGATAAGAAAGAGGAAAACACGAATGAGGAAAATTTTTCGGATCTCATTCCCTTTCAAGCAATTGATATACACGAAGTGGGTAATTGGCAGACATTCTAGTGTGGTTTGCTTCTTCTTTTCTACCAAACGTCTATCGTTCGTATCTGTCCTTACCGGCGGCTGTGGTGTAGCGGTTAAGCACTTCACTGTCGCACGCTGGAGACTCGAGTTCGATTCCCTCGGTGGGGAGAAAATCGGTATCGAGTTTCTCGGTCTTTTTTATCCTCTCAGCAAAGGTTGGCCTTCTAAATGTTCTAAATTTTGTCGATTAGGGCATGGAAACATCAACCGTTTTTCAAAGCATCTCTCCTTCTCCATTCCTGTTATGTTACTCTCTATAAACACCTCTGATCTTCGTCACTAATTTCTCCTACTAGTACTGCAACTCTTACTAAAACTACTACAGCAAAGACGCGCAGCTTCCAAAACACAGAGGAACTTCAAGAGGCATAACACAAGTTGATTCTGCAATTGTTTAATACTGTTTGGGAAGAACTCTAAACACAGCGCAAACTCCACACATGAATATTCAACCCGCATTTACAATGAAATAATCCACAGCAAACTGGTATATCTTACTAGATTTTCTTACAATATGGCAATGATTTTTGGAGGTTTTGGTTTTAGTCATAAATTTCATTACAGGTTTTCTATATCAAGTAAAAATCATAAAGAATTATTAATTCTACACCAGAACAAATCTTTTCTGTAAGCTTTTTTGTCATGTCAAACTGTCAGCAAACGATCTTGAAAGAGGGGAAAAAAAACCCCACATAAATGACATTTAATCATACAAAACAGAAATCATAAAATATATTTGATAATGACATCAACATTGAAAAAGTATACATTCATTTTATAATTTTGTAAGAAGTTTTAGTTATCACCTATCCAAATTAAATTGTAAAAGCGCAATATCGATATTGCTTAAACATTTTTGTCCAGAGACACGCATTTTAGAATGAACTGTGAGCAATGAAAAGCATCAAAAAGACCATTAAATATACCACATATCTAACATTGAATAAATAGGAGTGAAAGTACACAAATAACTTGTAGTCAATGATTATTCTGTAACTCACTGTAGGTTTGTGTTGATATGAAAAAAGGAAAATTCAGCAGCGTATTCCAAGAAAAAACGTTAAGACATGTGGCAAGATGAGATAGAATGAAAAGTATTTCAAAAGAAGAAGGATAAAAGAAAAGAAAATCAAATAAACTTATATAAACAAAAATGATCTTCTTCTAAGACCAGATTTTTAAAAATGAAAATGCCTTTATCGTGATACTCATGTACAGAATTTGGTGGAGTCATTTTAAAAAATTAAATGATAATAATAGATAAAAAATATTAATAATAATTATGATAACATAATATTTTAGAAATATTAACAATAACAATATTCATAATAACAATGATCTCCATAATCTTCTGTCCTGCTGATTAAATCATGTGTCTATCCTAAAGCGACACAGTTACCATAATGTTTTGGTTAATCTGGTCCTGAAGAGAGCAGGTCCAGTCCTTACACAAAGACGTCATCTAAAAACATGTATATCCAACCTGGCGTTGACAGGACGTCTAACAAAATTATTTATTTATACTTGATGTTACATAACAAAACAGCCCCCCCATT